ATCACATTACAGGAAATTTGAAAACCAGAGAAAAAGATTTAAAAATACCACCCTCTTTCTCCCTCAGTGACAATAAGGACTGGTTAGCATTTGGGAGCACTGTCTCCCCAAGTGTTGAGGTTTCTGCCAAACAACTTGTAACTGTATCTTTTTAAATTAGATGCATTATTTTTATTGTCCAATTTAGACTTTCATAAGGCTGCTACTTCCTAAAAAAGAAAATGAGGAACTTATTTAATTAAAGTAGGGCTTATTGATGATAATTTATGTGCATAATTATGATGTACAAAATTTATGCATTTTCAGCGCACAGTTGAGTGAGTTGTGGCGAATGGACAGAGGCAGGTTACTCAAGATACCAGACGTTTCCTTGATCCCAGAAGTCGTACCCTCTCCCCACCTCTGGCCCCGGCAACCACTGGTCTGTTTTCTGTGGCTGTAGTTTTGTGCCATTTCTGGAATGTCACATGAAGGAAATCATACAATATGTAGCTTTTCTCATCTGGCTTCCTTCACTCGGCATAATGCTGTTGAGAGTCACCCGTGCTGCAGGATGAGTCGTTTGGTTCCTTTTTATTGCTGAATAATATTCCATCACATGGATACATCAAAGTGTATTTATCTCTTCACCAGTTGGTGGACACTTTGGCTGTTTCCACCTTGAGGATGCCATGAGAAAGCTATTGTGACTATTCTGTACAGATCTTTGTGCAGACATGCTTCCATTTCTCCTGGGTAAATAGTTAGAAGTGAGATTGCTGCCAAGTGTATATTTTACTTTATATCAAAGTGCCAAAGTGTTTTCCAGAGTGGCTGGTTCACCTTGCACTCCCACCAGCAAGGTATGAGACTCCCGGTGGCTCCACGTTCTCGCCAACACTTGGTATTATCAGTCCTTTTTAATTTTAGCCATTACATTTAGCCATTAGCAGGCATGGGATCACATTGAGGCTTTAATTTTCATGTCCCTAATAGCTGATGATGCTGAGCATCTTTCCATGTGCTTATCTGCCTCCCATGGATGTGTCTTCTCTGGTGAAATGCCTTTTGCCCAATTCTTTTTTTTTTGTCTTTTTTTCCGTGTCTGGCAATGGATCGTAACCCTCAGTGTCGCCCCCGCACCG